TACTTTCGGTGCTGCTTGTGTTGATGCGCTGCGCCTGGCCTGATGTTTGCTGCTGCAGACTGGCGACCCCCACGCCGATATAGTTGCGACATGATTGTTGTTTCCCGCGGGATACCCTCAGTGATTACTTGAAATCCTTTTGTGTTTTCCAGAAGGGGTTTGAAGCCTCGGCTGGCCAGCTTTTGTTTCGGAGCGCCGAGTCCATCATTAAGGTTTCTACGGGAGGAATTCTGTGATCATCATGTTGTTTGCAAGGACCCCTCACGCATAATGGTTTTTTTGCATGATTTGTTGTCAAGAGTTCAAGATGAAGAGTCAGTGTTGCATGCTGCGCGCTCCAGTATATCATTTTGATGATGTTTTGGTGTCCATTATTCAGTGAAGAGTCCTTCGTAAGCGTTGCGCGGTCAGGTTTTTTTCTTCCAGTTCGGCCTTCTCACGACTGGCATTCGCAAGTAGTTCATGGCGAGGGATTGTCGGGTACAGTTCCCTTAGTAAAACAAGTTCTTTTATAAGGAAGCTTCTGTCGTGATTCCTTAGGAAGCATCTTTTAGTAAGGCTCATTGATCGGGCTCCTTCAGTGAAGGTCTTTTTAGGAATGATTCCATGCTAAGGACTCTGTTGAAAAAAAGGACAGGATTCTGCAACGAGGCCCTTGTTTTCAGGATTCTTCGGGAAGGCCCTCTTGCGCAGGATTCGTCATCAATCTTAGCACGGGTTCGGTATCGAAGATTCTTCTTTTAGCAAGGTCAGATTCAGATGATCGTCGTGATACAGAGGTATATTCATCATCGTCCTTATCGCAGGGCTTCTAGATTATTGCGCAGACAAAATCGCAGGCCACGGAACAACCCGTGGCCTTGTAGAATTTGTAGCAGCGCTAGTAGCAGCAATCACTACGAAAGAGGATCCGGACAGGACCAGAAAGTGACAGGAATGAGGGAGGACGGACAGGAGAAGGGAGAAGGAGAGAGAGAGAGACTGAGAAATAATGAGGAGAGATGGATTAGCTGGAGCAGGTGGGCGAAGGAAGGCGAGGAACCAGGACATGTGGGGGGATGAAGGCGGGGAGTGGTGAGATGAGATGAAGAATGATGGCCAAAGTACACCTGGCCAGAGTACACCCAAGATGCGACGACGACGCTGCAACACACCCTTCCTTGGCAATTTCCCTATGGGTAAGAAGTCCCTCAGTGTCAAGAGTTATGGTCAGACAGTTAAAGGAAATGTCCAGCGAGTACGGTCAGAAAATGTAAGGACATGTCCAGCGAGTGCTCTGTTTTGAAAAAGGATTTCTTATCCACCCGTACGAGCGTCTCACAATTTCAAAGTTGTTGTTCAACAGCCCAGGGGAACCTCAAGAAACAACGAGTGGCATGGTTAAAAGAGTCAATTTCCGCAACCTTCTGCATCATTATGAGGTGAGGACGGGAGCCCCTTTCTAGCAACGAGCACCCCCCCAATCCGCGCAACGGATTGAAATGTTCAGGGCGAGCGTGCATGGCGCTATGGCTTTATTTTGAACAAATCCTCTGCTCCATGTGTGCTGCACCGGTCGGACCTGTGTTCGACGAGCGTGCGCGGCGGTAAGGCCACGGCCCAATCTCAAATCATTCTTGTTCCATCTTTGTAACCGCTGGGACTCTCGGCTTCAAGATCACAGTTTTTGAGGAATTCCCCGCCGAAACACACATCCCGCCTTAACAGCACATCAGGTGGTGCGACAGGGAGGAGGATGGAGGAGGAGGAGTAACGTAAGGAGGAGGAGGAGGAGGAGGAGGAGGAGGAGGAGGAGGAGGGGGAGGAGGAGGACCAGTGGAAACCCAACGTTCATCAACGGTGTTGGAAGTAACCCTTCCTCCAAGCTCTCGCTTTATAGGCCCCATACAGCGGTCCATTTCCATTGAGGGAACTGCCTCGCTGGAAGACAACAATTTGAAGATCCCGAAACGTGCCAGAACATTGTTCTCGGGAGTTCAACGCCACGTATCAACTTGACTGCTGCGCCTTGACGATCCAGAATCTTGCCAGAACGCCATCGTTGGGACTTCGACACAGCGAATCAACATAACTGCTGCGCCCGCGTAGTCCTGAACCTTCGAAAACACCATTTCTGGTGTTGATCATGGGAAGCCGTGAAACTCTTGCAAATTTTGTTATACGAATGTGCGCGGTGCTAAGGCGAGAGCCGCATTTTGGAAAGGAACCGCCCTCAATCCGTGAAGCTCTTGGAATTTGTGTTAAACGAATGTGCGCGGCGGTAAGGCGAGAGCCACATGTTGAAAACGGCCCGTCCTCTATCCGTGAAGTTCTTGCACATTTGTTTATGCGAATGTGCGCGGCGCTAAGGCGAGAGCCACATTTTGAAAACGACCCGCCCTCAATCCGTGAAATTCTTGCACATGGAATAACAACGAATGTGCGCGGCGGTAAGGCGAGAGCCACAAGTTGAAAACCACCCGCCCTCATCCCGTGAAACTCTTGGACAGTATCATAACGGATGTGCGCGGCGCTAAGGCGAGAGCCACATTTTGAAAGCGACCCGCCTTCCATCAGTGAAACTGTTGTCAATGTTCAAGCTCCAGAGTCGTAAATGGTGAGGACGTCTCAGGCGGAACGCCTGGCCTGCCCTAAAGCTGGCCTCGAGGTGCGACAGGGAGGAGTTATTTATAAGGAGAAGGAATGGAGGGACAAGGACAATGAGGAGAAGGAGGAGGAAGAGGAGGAGGAGGGAGGAGGAGAAGTGAGGAGGACGTGGGAAATGAGGGAGAAGGAGGCAGGAGGGAGGACGAGGAGGGAGAAGGATGATGGTCGGGACGTGTCGGGATGGTGGGGAAGGATGATTGTGCTTGAGTTGTGCTGATTAGGTCCTGCACCCAGATCGGCGGCCCTACGCGGGACGGTTTTCTCGCTGTGAGGCTGAACCAACATGGGAGATCAATGTGCTGCGTGAGGCAGCACGTTGGCTAGCACGTTTCCAGACGTCGGAGCCTGAAACTGCACCTGATGGCCTCTCACAGAACCTCCTACAAACCGGTCGTTGAGGCACTGTTGCATATGATTGCCCGGCCCTTCGCCGTGTTTGTTGTTCGGTTCCTGAGGCTTTTGGCTTCTGATGGCCTGCCCTTCATCGCTTGGAAGGCCACGGGGCCGAGGGAGAGGCGGGGGCGGACGGTGGGAGGATGGGGGGAGATACTGGACGAGGAGGGACGACACCCACAGCCCAGACCGACCCCGACCAAACGCACACGTTCTTGCGGCAGCGGATGTGGCACATTGTCTCCACCGCTGTAGCGTACATCCAGGCCAGGGTGAAGCCACGGGTGGGAGGAGGAGGAGGAGGAGGAGGAGGAGAAGGAGGAGGAGGAAGAGGAGGAGGAGGAGGAAGAGGAGGAGGAGGAGGAGGAGGAGAGAGGAGAACATGAACAGGAGGAACTAGGCAATTGCAGGAGGATCAGGGACAGCAGGAAGGCAGGAGGCAGTACTATACGAACATCATGGGGATAATGATACTGAGGACCAGGAGAAGGAGGAAGGACCCCGAGAATGAGGAAATGAAAGGCCAAGGACGAGGACCAGAAAAACGAGGATGCTGAAGAGGAGGACCACTGTGGGTAAGACGAGGAGGTGAGTTAGATGGACCTGAAGGGGAGGAGCATGGCATCGAGGAGGAGGGGGAAGATATGAAAAGGAGGCTGATGATGAGGAGGGGCAGGGTGATGGTGAGCACGATGGCTAGGGTGATGGTGACGATGAGGAAGAGAACGAGGTGGGCGAGGCCGAGGAGCAGCAGGATCATGGCCATGAAAAGCAAGCCGATATGTGGATGACGAGGAAGAGGGTGGGCATGTCGATTCTGATGGTTGTGACGGCCACGGTACTGAACATGCTGATGGCAATGGTGGTGATGGGGAAGATGATGATGATGGTGATGATGATGGTGATGATGATGCTGATGCTGATGCTGCTGCTGATGATGATGATGGTGATGATGATGCTGATGTTGATGACGATGATGATTCTGATTATGATGATGGTTCTGATGATGATAATGATGCTGAGAATGATGATGATGGTGATGATGAGGATCATGATGATGCTGATGATGTTGTGGATAGGACATGATGGGGATGATGGTGGTGATGATGGCAGTCGTTGTGATGATGATGATGATGATGGTGATGCTGATGGAGGTGTTGATGACGAATGGGCTGGTAATGCGGACGGCCGTGATGATTATCATGATGACGATGGTGATGATGCTGGTGATGAAGATGATGGCGATGATGGTGGTGGTGCTGCTACCGATGGTGATCACGATGCGGGGGAGGTGCAGCATGTGCATGAGGATACACAACGGCAGGAACATGAGGAGCGCAAGGAACCGACCGGGGGCAGGAGGAGCAGGTGAAGGGGGGTTCTGTGGAGGCGGAGGAGGCTGGAAGTGCAGAAGGACTGAGAGATGGATGGAGGGACGAGGCTGAGGTGGAGGAACGGAGGGGGAGGGAAGGGAACGAGGGAGGGAGGGAGGGAGCTGGCGGTGGTCCCCGTCAGGGCAGGTGGGCTCGCCGCACCACACCCGCGTCCAGCAAGGCGGAAGAACAGGATGAGGAGGAAGAGAAGGCGGAGGGGGAGGAGGAGGAGCTGAGAGGAGGTGGGAGGAGGCGGCGGAGGGGGGGGAGAAGACGAGGATGAGTGAGGAGAGCAGGAGGAGGAGGAGGAGGAGGAGGAGGAGGAGGAAGAGGAGGAGGAGGAGGAGGAGGAGGAGGAGGAGGAGGAGGAGGACGACGAGGAACGCTACAGTTCTGATTCAGACCTCCGAGGAGGTGACAAATGTTGTGGTTGCAGTGCGGGCTAGGCCGATGAACAAGAGAGAGACGGAAGAGGGCGCGACTCTTGCTGTGGAGTTCCATAATACCGAGCAGTTGTCCATTACGACGAGCAAGGGCGAGGCGTCGCAGTTTGCTTTCGACCATATCTTTCCCTCGACTACACCTCAGGGGGCCGTGTTCGACAAGCTAGGAGTTGCCCTGCTCGATAAGGCCTTCCATGGCTTCAACAGCACAATCTTTGCGTACGGTCAGACGGGCAGCGGCAAAACGCACACCATGCTCAACCACAAGGCTTCGGGGCTCCAAGCCTGGCGTTGCCCACTTTCGGTGTTTGTCCCCATTTCGCTAATTACCCCCCGAGGGGGAGGAGGGCAGTAGGGACGAGGTGGCGGAATCATACATACTGCACACCATGTGTTTCCTGGAGGCAGATGCCGACAACCGCGGCCTCATCCCGCGAATCGCCGACAGCCTCTACGCGCGCATCGCCGAGGAGACGGCGAAGCACGAAACGAGGAAGTTCTTGGTCTGCTGCAGCTTCATGGAATCCGGAGCAGAAGCAACTGCGCAACCATGCGCTTTCGGAGTTCCGCGCCGAGCTCCGAAAGTTTAATATGTGTGTGCCGTTCTTTTCTTCCTCCCAGGAGATCTACAACGAGATTATATTCGACCTCCTGGTCGCGAGGAAGAACCAGCCGAAAGGCGGGAGTCGGCGGGCCCTCCATGCGGCTCCACCCAGGGGCGGGTCTCGGGCGTCGCCTAAGGCAGGGGCCATGCCGCTTTCTGTGTGCTCGGCATCGCTCGGGCGTGTGCACGTCTTCTCGGCGAGGACCCTCGAGGAGCATTGTGGACCATCTTGCTAAAGATACACACACGAAGCCGACACATGCCTAAGGAATGGACGTCCGAACGATGGCAAGTGTGTGAGAGCCGCCACGCAGGGCCTCGCCCCCCCCACGGATCGACGGGGCATGCCCAGGCGTGGAGGCGTCGTGACACATTCACGCCGCAGGGCCTTTTCAATTCTCGACCTCGGGGGGACCTCGTTGGGCCCCGGGGGCCGCAAGCAAAAGAATCGGGATGAGAAGCCGGCCTTCGGGGAAGGGTTGGGACCCCCGAGCACCCCGTGCTGAAAGGGCATCTCCGTCCGAGGGATTGATGTGGCAGGCATCACGGTCACGGACTGTGGCTCAGCGCATCGCTCCGCCAGTTATGGCACACCGTGCTTCGGTGTAACACGCGATCCACGGCTGCGTCCCCGAAGGTCAACGTCCCGAGCTTCTCCCAGCCTCCCGCCCCGCGGAGCGGAGCCACCCGCTAGCCGCTTGCAGGGTGCAGCCCGCCTCCAGGGCCGCCGCTGCGACACGCCACGTGTGCAGAAGTGCCCGGCCGTTTCTCGTCCCTGGCAGCAGGCAGCGGAGGGGCCAGCGGAAGCCGGCAGCAGCATAAACGGGGGCGGCTCCGCCAGCGGCAGCTGGGCGGAGGCTGGCGGAAGTCACCGTGTGCGCCACCGAGAGATGGCAGGACGCGTCGCTGGTGAAGAGCAAGGGTTTGGGGTTCCCCAGGTGTTGTTTTTTGTTCACGCGCCATCCTTTCTCCAAGAGTCGAACGGCTCTTCCTTTTCTTGCCTTTCGCGCCATCCTTTCTCCAAGAGTCGCACGGTTCTTCCTTTTCCTGCATTTCGCGCCATCCTTTCCCCAAGAGTCGAGCGGCTCTTCCTTTTCCTTCATTTTCAGGGTGCGGGCGGAAACCCAATCTGCGCTCCACGCCTTCCTTCTCGGGGGCCCGCCCAGGCGGTGCAGTGACAGCACCATGTGTGGTGCGTCGGGGGGGATTCGGGGTGGCCGCGCGGTCTTGGGGCCCGGTGGCGCTCCGAGGGCGTCTCGAGGGCCCGGGCCTCCCAGGCAGTCCCCGAACCACGCGGGGACGGGCCGTGCGGCTGAGGCATTTTGAGCGGGCTGAGAGCGGTATTAGACTCGTTCGCCGTCGGGGACGCGTGGCCCAGGGCGGCTGGAAAGTTTATATACCCTTACCGTGGCACGTCGTGGTGCAAATTTTCCGCCCGCCCTGGGGCAGGCGCACCCGGCGACGGGACAGTTTATCTCATGCCGTTGTTCCCCCGCGAATCTTCGGGGAGGTACAAAGGCTTTCCCACTGCCTGTCGCCGCACTGTTCTGGGACCACCCCATGGCTTCATGCCTCATTCGTTGTGTGGTGTGCGGCCCCAGGCCCAACCTCCGGGTCCGTCTCGGAGGTCGCCGCGGCCAGCGCGGTGGCCACACATCGGGGCGAGGGTTTTGTCCAGGAGCGGCATGCCCGTTGCCTTAAGTCGGGCGTGTCCGTCTACAGGAGGAATATTCAAAAATATAAAACATAGTCTGGGGACGATTTCCTTTGAATGTTTCACTATGTTTGAATACTTGTTGACTATGCTTTCTATCTTTCGCCCAAAACCCGCCTGTAGGAGGACACGCCCGACCCAGCCCTCGCCCCCCCGCTCCCCCCCTCCGCTCTGCGATGTTGGCGTGGCTCCTACGTGCTCGGCCACGCGGCGACAGAGAGCTGCACGCTGCCGCCCGGCCCGGGCGGTCGGGCTGCTTTGGGGGACTGGGTGTCGACTGCCACGCCGCCGTTGCCGAAGGCACTTTGGAAGTGCCTTCGGGGCGGCGCAGGGGCGACAAAACATGTAGGTGTTTGCTTGCCAGTGGATTGTTTTTGCGGAGTTGGGCGCCCGGGCGCGGACGGCCGAACGACCCCTGCAGCGGGACACCCTGGCCACGCGGTCGCCGCCGCAAAAGTTGCCCGTTCAACGCTGGCGCCGCGCAAAGGCGGGCGGCGAACAGCTGCCCGCCCGTCCCAGACCACGGGTGCTCTCGGGATCGGGGCCTCCGGAGCGGGCCGCGGCGGTGCGCGGGCCTCGGGCCCAGAGAGGCCGCGGGAGAGGGCGCGGCGAGGGCCGCGCCGCGCGCCTCGCGGGCCGCGCTTTTGGGGAGCGGCTGCTCGTCTCCAGCGGGCCCAGCGCGGCGAGCGCGGCAGGCGTCTGCAGCGTGGCCGCAGCTGTCATGCATCCGCACCCCCTGCCCCTTCTCCGCCCTCCCCTCCTCCTCCTCCTCCTCCTCCTCCTCCTCCTCCTCCTCCTCCTCCTCCTCCTCCTCCTCCTCCTGCCCCTCCCCCCCTCCCCCTACTCCCTGTCCTCCATCTTCCACTACCCTGCCCCTTTCCTCCTCCTCCCCCTCTCTCCTCCTCCCTCCTCCGCCTCCGCCTCCTACCTTCCTCCCATCCTGCCTTCGAATGTACGTACGCACGCTCTGGCGGCTCGGCGTGACACGGCATCCTGCAAGAGTGGTGCGGCACCGACCTCGGCGCTTCGCGCGGCCGCACGAGAGCCTGGAGCAGGTCTCTTGGCAGTTTTTCTCCTGCTCCTCTTCTCTTGTTCATTATCATTGTCCTTCCTCTTCCTCCCCATCATCACCATCGTACAGATAGATACGGGCGATTATCATCATCATCATCATCATCATCAGCAGCAGCAGCATCATCAGCATCGTCATCGCAATCAGCATCATCATCAACATCATCACCATCATGAGCAGTAGCACTATCACCACCACCATTATCGGCATCACCATCATCGTCATCATCATCATTAGCATCATCATCATCATCATCATCATCATCATCATCATCATCATGCGCAGCACCCGTATCACCTCCATCATCATCGACATCATCCGCATATTCATCAGTATCATCATCATGAGTAGCATGAGTACCACCGCCATCATTATTTCCAACATCATCACCGTTATCGCCATCATCATCAGCAAGCTCAGCATCGTCACCACCACCACGACCATCATCATCATCATCATCAGCAGTGTCAGCATCGTCTTCATAAGCATGACCACCATCATCATAATACTTACCAGCAACATCATCAGCACAGTCATCAGCATCATCATGAGCAGCATGAGTACCTCCGCCATCATCATCACCATCACAATCACCGTTACCGCCATCATCATCAGCATTACCAGCAGCATCACCATCATCATTACCGTCATCAACATCATCGCCCTCATCGTCACCATCCTCAGCGTCATCATCACTTTTATCGTCAGCTTCAACATCACCACCATCATCATCATCATCATCAGCAGCATCATCATCATCAGCATCATCATCCTCAGCATTATCATCACCATAGTCATCAGCATCATCAGCCCCGTTAGTATCCTCCGTGCCCTCCCTCTCGTTCACATGTTGCTGCTTCTCCTTCCTGTTATTCTCATCCTCCTGCCTTTCCTCGTCCTCCTCATCCTCCGCTTATTCCTTTTCTCCCAAGGTCCATTGCAGCTCTTCCTCCTGTTCTCATGGAACTGTGCTGGAGCGCCTGGTGACGCGAATTTTGAGGTCAATCCAGCAGTGGCGACGAGGGCCCCCACAGGAGGCCCAAGTGGGCGCAGCACGTCGAATCCACTCCTTCCTCCTCCGCCTCCTCCGTGCCCTGTCCCTCCCTCGCTCCCTCCCTCCCTCCGTCTCTCGTCTGCTTGCTCTTGCCCTTCCCCGCTACTGCTTCTGCGCGCTCGGAGTACGTGTCTCCCTCCCTCCCCTCCCTCCTGCTCCACCTCTTTGATAGTCGTTTTCTGACGTGTAAATCATCTTTGCGCTCTCGCCGGTTAGGCGGGCTGGAGGTCAAGGAGCAGAAGGGCCTCGGTGTCTACGTGAAGGACCTACAGGACAGGCGCTGGCTTTTCTTTCGAGGAGGAGGAGGAGGTGGAGGACGGGAGGAGGACGGCAGGAGGAGGACGAGACAGAGAGGTTTGGAGGAGGAGCGCGAGAAAGAATCATCTTGCTCCTCTGCCTCGTCATCCATCACGTCCATCTTACAAAGGACTCATCCTCGTCGCGCGACCAGGCGTGGTGGGTTGGGCGTCTCGCCCGAGATCCCCTCACAGCTTATGGTACCAGCCCCATCGCGCGAGTCCACCACCGTGGTCGGGCGGGTGCCTGGGGGCCCCGAGGGGTTGGTAGCGGCGGGGGGGCGCCTAGGCAGGTGGGTCCACTGCGCCTGGCTACTCGGACCTTCGTATTTTGGACGGTTCTTTGGTCGGAAAGCGAGAAACGTACAGCGAAGCGTCAGCCAGCGTGAGCCCCGAACAGTGTGCTTCTAGCAATACACGGTGTGGTATCTACGTGTTGCAATCTATGTGGTCAACTAATGTATGTTCGTAGTGAGTTGTCAACTCCACTGCTCGAGCAATCATCCCACGCGTAACTTGGTTTGCAAATCCATGCGGCGGCGATTGCGATGAGTGATTGGTGTTGGCTGGTGCATATGCTGCCGCGCTAGCCCTCGCATGCTCGCGCGCGCTAGTTTGGCGCGACCGACGCGGCCGCGGTGGCGCTGACCGCTGGGCCCATCCCAGTGGGCATTTCAGTGCGAGTCGGCGACTCGGGTGGAGGCGGTATCATGGCAACACCGACAACGGTAGACATGATGATGGTAGTAGTGATGTTGGTGACGATGATGACAGAGACGACGGCAGAGCAAGTGCCGGCACCGATATTCATCATGCTGACGACGATGGCGGCGTTCTCGCGTCGGTGATGGAGGTTTTGGAAGGAGTTTGACACACGCGCGCGGCCGACACGCGACAGTGGCCCGCATGGTTTGTTTGACATTTGACACGGATCGTGCCCCCCACCAGCACGCGCGCAAAGACGTTTGTGAAATGGCGTTGCGAAACCATATGCTTGTTTTACATGTTTTCGGGACAACCGATTTTGAAATCTGGGCGAAACACAAAGTTTTTGAAGGATTTCGGCGTGCACGCGCGACAACGCGCGCGCGTGCGTTTCGCCCCGCTTTTTGCAAAGGGGTTCTTGCGACAGCACGCGCGCAGGGGCGCTCGAACGATTCCGACAGGCGCGCGCGCGCGAGTGGTCCGTGCTGTAGTCTTTCACGAAACGGTTGGAAATCCATGGCTTTCGGCACACTCGATCTGAACATCTCTGCGCAGCTCGTGAAGGCTCTGCGTGGGCGACGCGCGGCCACCTGCCGAGAGGGCGCACGCCGGGGGCACAGAGCCCCGCCACCCCGGCTGGAGGCTGGGGCCCCGGAGGCGACGCGATGGAGGCGAGGAGCCCATCGGGCGGGCATGGCGCTCACTCGCCTGGGAGCCTCGCCGAAGGCCTGGGCCGTCGGCGCCCCCGGATGCATGTGTTGCCCCCCCCCCCCCTCCTCCTCCTCCTCCTCCTCCTCCTCCTCCTCCTCCTCGTCCCCCTCCTCCTCCTCCTCCTCCTCCTCCTCCTCCTCCTCCTCCTCCTCCTCCTCCTCCTCCTCCTCCTCCTCCTCCTCCTCCTCCCCCTCCTCCTCCTCCGCCTCCTCCTCCTCCTCCTTCTCCTCCTCCTCATCCTCCCCCCCCATCCCTGGCTGCTCATCGTGGAACTCTTCGACGTCTGAGCGTCCCTCCTTCCTCTCGGCCGTCCCCCTCCTTGCTTGCCAGGCAATTCGCTAGTTGGTGCCCCTACCTAGCTGCTCGTTGGAGCGGATTTCGCCGCTTCGCCGCCGACGGAACAGTGTTGCCCCTCCCCCCCGTCCGCTTGGGAGGAGGCCGCGCAGTTGGGGATAAATGGGGGGCGGCGAGGGCTGCCGAGAAGGGGCCCTTTTCGGGCCCCTGACGAAGCTTTCTCGGGCCCCACGGGGGGCTTCTCGGGCCCGAGAAGGGCACCTTTCTCCCCCCCCCCCCTTGATCGCTCCCCATTCGTTCGCGCCCAATTCCTGGACCATCCGCTCCGGTCGTCGTGCCCGAAGGTGTTGAGAGCGAGTGCGAAGTGGTCCCCAATCTGGGCAGTCGGTGTCGGTTTCGGGTCGCGTGCGTGCGTGCGGGCGGGGCCCGTGGCATCGCTCGGACGCGTGCGTTTTTCTCGGCGGGGGCCCTCGAGGAGCATCCTGGAGCACCGGGCAAGAAGCGAGCGCACGAGGTCGAAGCATGCACGGGGAGTGGACGTCCGAGCGGTGGCGGGAGCCAGGCTGCGCGATGGCGGCGCTTCGTCGGCTGGGGCCGGGGCCAATGCCGGGCAAGACTATGCTGCTGCGTTCTGGGCGCGTCGCGCGGCGGCGGCGCTCGGGGGTCGTCCCGTGGTCGTCTCCTGGGCTGTCCCGTGGGTTGTCTTCCAGGGAGGCGTCCGTGATTGTCCCTGTGGGTTGTCCCATGATTGTTTTGTGGTCGTCCCGCGGGTTGTTTCGCAGTTGTCCCGTTCGCGATGTAAGTCGACATGCGAATCCAGGCGCAAGTCGACATGCATATCCAAATGCAATCGACGTGGACATCGAAATGCGCAATTCGATGTGCCAATGAAGGTGCACATGGGCATGCAATTCAAAAGTGATGCACCCTGGCAAGCCAAAAATGCAACTCGATATGCACAGCGAGCCGCAAATACCAGATTTCGTCGACGCGCGCGTAGAATTGCAAGCGACCTGCACATCGACTTGCACATCGAAGTGCACATTTCTCTAAACCCCAGACCTCACCATCGCGCGAAGGGTGGTCAAAATGAGGCAAGATATCTCAGAGCCGTAGGCGGCGATGCCCCGCCCAGCCACCCCGAACGAGATGACGTTGCCGTCCACGCCCGAGAGCCGCTGCAGACATGTGGACTTCTTGGGTGCTGAGCAGAGAGGCTGCGCCCGCACTCCGTGCGCCCTGGCGGGCGTTTTTCTACACTGTTTACAGCTCGGGGAGCACCTCCACGCCATCTCAAGCTATCAGGGCGGCCACCCTGTGGGCCGTCTTGAGGCGACCTTGTGATCTCTCGGAAGCAAGACGAGCATCGGGCAACTCACATTGGTTTGTTTTCATGTGGTTTGTTGTTTGTTTGTTGCCACCTTGGATGCTACGGTGGAGAACCTTGTCGCCGTCCACGGCGCTTGTGAGGTCGTCTCGAGCGGTCCTACGGTTGCGTGACTCATGTTCGAGGCTTTGTGAAACACCTCCGAAGCATCCTCGATGCATATTCGTCCCTGGGAGACCTCTATACGACCTGATTAAATCGGCCAGGGTGTTCCTATAGTTTGCAGTGACATTGCTGGGGGTGATGAATGTCATGTTCCAGACTGTTCCAGCTGACTTGAGGTAGTTAGACGCCAAGGGCCTTGTCAGGCCCTGGGCTTCGAGCGCTCAGCAGCAGTGGCCCTGTTGTGGCCGACATGCAAGGGGATCATGAGTGGAGGCATGTAGATGCATGCTGCATGTGCGTCATTGCGTCCACAATGTGATGTACATGATGTGTCCAGCCTGGGTGAGAGCTGGATGCGCACGTGGCCGCATGTCTTTCCAGCGCTTGGCCTTCTAAGGCTGGGCTGGGTCCGCCACGCTTGTATCCAGCGCGTGGCCTCCACAGATTCCACATGTGCAAGCGGCTGTGTGTGCGTGTGTTCCAGCTTCCTGCTGCACGCGACGTCATGGACTGTACGTACTGCCTGTTTGCACACACGAGGGTTGTCGGGTGCCCAGTGGATGTGGTGGCCTTGTGACAGCTGCTTCGTTGCAGGAGATGGTCATCGAGACGTCAGAGAAGCTCCAGAACGTCCTCGAGAAGGGATTCGAGCACCGGCAGACGGCGTCCACCAAGATGAACGACGTGTCCTCGAGGTCGCACTGCATATTTGTCATCAAGCTCCACCAGAAGGACACGGAGGACGGCACCAAAAACACCTTCAGCAAGCTGAATCTCGTGGACCTGGCGGGCTCCGAGCGCCAGAAGTCCACCGAAGCAGAGGGCGACAGGCTGAAGGAGGGAGCCAACATCAACAAGTCCCTCAGCGCCCTCGGGAACGTCATCAACGCGCTGAGCTCCCAGTCGCAGGGCAAGAAGCAGTTCGTCCCGTATCGCAACTCCAAGCTGACTCGCGTCCTGCAGGAGAGCCTGGGAGGGAACTCGCTGTGCACCATGGTCGCCGCAATCAGCCCATCCAGCACCAACTCCGAGGAGACCCTGTCCACGCTGAACTACGCAAAGCGCGCGAAGATGATCAAAGTCACCGCGACGAAAAACGACGAGGCGTCCCAAGTGAAGAAGCTGGAGGAAGAGGTCATGGCGCTGAGAAGAAAGCTGGAGCAGCAGGCATCCTCGGAGGGGATGATGAGCTCCAAGGACAAGGAGGAGATGGAGAGCAAGTACGGGGCCCAGATCGACGAGCTGCAGTCGTTCATGAAGCAGAGCTGGGAGGAGAAGCAGAAGCTCTCGGAGAAGTACGAGGAGGAGCAGCGGCGGGCCGCGGAAGAGAAGGCCAGGTCCGCGGAGCGGGTCAGGCGCCGGCGGGGTGCAGAACGAAAAAAAACGCGCGGGAGCCGATGGGCCCCGCGCGCGCCACCGGGGGCGCGCTCTGCCCCGTGGCTTTTGCCCCCCCCCTCCCCCCCCCTGCCCTTGGCATCGCTCGGGCGTGTGCATGTTTTTCTCGGCGAGGACCATCAAGGACCATCCTGGACCGTCGAGCAACAAAAAAGCGCGCACGACACCGACAAAAACACGCACGAGCCATGGCAAGTGCCCGTCCTCGGCATCGCTCGGGCGTGTGCCCGTTTGTCCCGGCCAGGGCCATCGAGGAGGATCTCGGATCATCTTGCGCCAAGAAAACGTGCAGGCCAACGAGCAACCTGTTAGATGCTCGTTTGGGGGACCTCCCTGGGGCCCACCGAACGGATCTGTTCGACTCAAGTCCGACCCCAGCTCGTCTCAAGATCGGCTCAAGTTCGACTCAGGTTCGACTCAGGCTCGACTCAAGGTCGGCTCCAATTGACGGACGCTCGACGCAGCTTCGACGCAGGAATGGAGCGAGTGTCTCCAGGAAGGTCCCCAGCGTCGCCCCCCAGGGGCGACGCGCCCACCGAGAAATCTTATAGTAAACGCGTCGTGGCGAGCGCTTTCCGGCCGGACCGCTCGGGGAACGAGGTGCTACAGGATGGTCATCCCATATGTTCAGGTCGGACGCGCGCCTCCGAGGAGGACATGTAGTGCCAGCCTGGAACATATCCCTATCCCTATGCTGGGCACCTCCTCATCACGATGCCAATCTTAGGGATTCCCTTATTTTTTTGAGGACGAACCCCTAAGATTGCCATCGCCTTTTGGCGTGTCCATCTTAGGGATAGGGATGCGTTCGAGGCTGGTGAATGTGGTGCTGGTCCTGCCTCTGTGCGTCCCAGGGGCATCCAAAACGTGCACGCGGAGTGGACGCCCGAGCGAGGGCACGTGCCGCACCCCGGCGCCTCGTGCAGAGCCCTTCCTGGCCTGCCCTTGCCTGGCTCGAACGTATCCCTATCCCCTAAGATGGACACGCCAAAAGGCGATGACAATCTCAGGGATCCGCCCTCAAAAAGTAAGGGAATCCCTAAGATTGGCATCGTGATGAGGAGGTGCCCAGCATAGGGATAGGGATATGTTCCAGGCTGGTAATGCCCTGGCTGGTCTGAGAGCGTGGGCGAGGGTGCCCTGCCCGCGCCCCCGCCTCGCGCGGGGGTCGCGAGGCCCCCCATCCCGGGCGCCGTGGCCTCCAGAGCCGGGCGTGGCTCAAGAGGCGCTCGGCATCGCTCGGGCGTGTGTATTTTTCCTTCGGCGAGGACCATCGAGGAGCATCCTTGATCAGATTTGGCGAAAGAACCACGCACGAAACCGCCGAAAAAAGCACAGGCAATGGACGTCCGAGCGATGGCCAGGGCGGGGGCCAGTGCAAGCGGGGGTCAGCCAGAGCGCCAGATCCCGCAGGATCTTGCAGGGCCAGGGGCGCACTGGCCCGGGCTTGGGTGCAGGATTCAAAAAGGAGGGAAAAGGCACCCATACCCCTACCCCCTCGCCTGTTTCCCCCTTTTTGGGGCCTCCTGGGAGGCCCTCTTCACCGCTGCTGGATTCGCTGCGAAATCCTGGTCAGAACGCACCCTGGTAGAGGTCCGGGGAGTAGCGGTATCGGTACCTCTCGATTTCCCCAAGGATCCTGCAGGATGCTGCAGGATTTTGCAGGATCCTGCAAGGCCTGACTGACCTGGGTTTGGATGGACCTGGGCCAGTAGATCCCCGAAGCCGGGTATGGCCAGGACCCGCTGAAGGGGAGCCCGCTTCGTGATCGGGTCCCCCTCTCTTCAAGCAGTGGCGAGGCGTCCTGGCTGGCCTATAACTAGGCCCACCTAATCATGTTCTGCGACACGTTGAGACCATCTTGGAGCATATCGTAGGCTCGGGGGCCCAATGTGGCATATAGGGGCCTCATGGGCCCAGGAGTTGCAGTCACGAGTTTGTAGCGCACGCTCCCCCACAGAAGGGATCTGGGATACCGGGTCCGCCGCCCCGTCGCAGACGGGGTCCGCGGAACCTGCAGGATGCTGTAGCTACGTTTTGGCCAACATGATGGTCAACTAGCAGAAAACATTCGCATACACGTGCTACTTGACCAGAAGCCTCCATCATAACAGTTAAGTGGGCCGACAAGGGGGCGGCAGGCTTCAGTATAACTCGTTTCGGATCGGTTAGTTTGTCTTGGCCTTGCTCGGCGGTGCTCTGATGGTCTTTTATGCTTCGGTAGCTAATGCCATTGCATTTGGATTTCAAAGAGCGGTCGCGTGCTTGGGTTATGTCTCGAGTCTTCGTCAGTGTTACGCCGGCTGCCCAAAGTTTCGTCGCACACACACATTGTTCTGTGAGTTTCGCACACCCTTGGCCTAGTCGACATTCGCATGCCCCAGGAGCACTCAATTTAGCATTTCATCAGTTTGCCAGCTAGAGTTGGTTCTGATTGAAGTGTGCTGTAGATGCTCACATCGACTAAGCCGAGGTCAAGTAGTTGGACGGATTGAGTAGCCAGCTGACCCCATGCAGTCGCGAAGTTGGGGTTTCTCCGCGGCTCGCCTTTCCTTGCAATGGCATCGCCAAATATTAGAGGTTGGATCGCCCTATTAGCTCCCCAGGATAAGGAAGATGCAATGTATCAATCACGTTTGCTTGTCATATTTGCCAGCAGTTTGTTGGTTTCGCAGTGTTGTGCCTTTGCTCCCAACACCAGAGGAAGTTCTGGCAGATCCAGTAAATTCTGATGCTGATGGCGAGTCAGCCCCCAGGGTTAGACCTCCATATTGGCCGGCGGATGTGGAAGTGAATTGGGGTTCGCCGAGTCTCACCCGCCACGAGGCACGAAAGAGCTCGGCGTCTTCAGCTGCTTGAGCAGAATGGTGACATCGAGCTTTCGCTGAAAGCCATTGCCAGCATTGGCAGCGACATCACCAAGGGCCTCTTGGAGAAGATCGGCGAGGCGCTGAAGGCCGGGGCATTGGAAAGCCTGCCGACAAACAGATGGCCCATCGAATCTGTGCGCAACCGATGGCACAACCTACGTCGCTAACGTGTCGTTGGTCCAACTTGTGACTCGGGGGGGCGTTGTGCAGCAGTGCCATGTGCAGTGCTGTGTGCAGTGCCGCGCCATGGCGTACGGTATCGCGCCGTGTTGCGTCCGTCTTTGATCACGTTGTTTATGGTCTCTTGGCGGGTTGAACATGTCTGAGCTGTCTGATGCGCTTTCGTTATGTTGATTCTGAGCGTCCTCAGTCCATTTGCAGCCGATGTTCACCGCTGCCATCAATGCTTAGGCACTCTCTTGATGTGCGGTGTCGATGCTTGCGGTATACAGTGCCAGTGAAGCAGCGGGCTTCTCCTTTTGATTTATTTCGCTGGGGCCACCCCAGTCTACACACTTTTCCGTCAGTGTCTGCCCTTGTGCCCACGCAGACATATATGTAGGTTTAGAGCCGATGCACATCCTAGCCGAACCAAGGGTAACTCCCTCCCCGGGCTCTCCTTGTTTTCCTTTGGGGCGCCCTCATGCCCCTTGGCCAAACTTGACTCACAGCTCCCAGCCAATCTAGCCTCCGTAAGGACGTGCTGCTAGCGTTAGCCCCTGAATTAGCAAAGAAGGACCCCTGGCTTCTCTTGGGGGTGGAGAGCGTTCCTGGCAGCGACAGGTCATAATTCTCCCCCCCCCCATGGCGGCTGCGGCGGCTGCGGCGTTTCAGCTTCGCTCAGTTTCGTTGCCTTCTGCTACTCGCCCGATGTGAAGACACGTGGGCCCAGCGATGTTGGACCGCTCAGTTTCGTTGCCTTCTGCTACTGCCCTGGGCCCCAGAGGGTTACCACACTGCTCGAACAGAGAAAACGGCGCAGCATCTCCGCTTCGCGCGCCTCCAAAGCGAGGTGCAGCAGCAGATGGAGTCCCAGCTGCACGCCGTGCGCCTGTACCGGGAGAGCGCCGCCTCCGACTTCCGGAGCTGCACGAGCTGCAAGGCCTCGGACGCGGTCGCGCTGCAGACCCTTCTGAAGCAGGCGTGGGGGGGGTCCTCCGCGCCGCGGCAGGCGCGTCCCCCTGGTGCAGGCAGCCCGCAGAACAATCGCAGGCCTAGAGGTTGACGCCAACATCAATATCGGCGGTGTTCCTCCACCGAGGGAAGAGGATCCCGATCTCGGTGGTGGTGGTAATATTCTGGCTCCCAAAGTGACCGAAATATTACCACCAACACCGAAATCGAGGATCATCTTCCCCCTGGAGGCAGCCCCCTGTGTTGGTGTTGGTGTTGGTGCCAATCTCCGGGCCTCCCAAACAAGGATGGGCAACCCTCCCAAGGGTACCCTTGCACCCTCGCCTCGGTCCATCCTCGGCCGCGTTCGTGGGCCGCGCCCCGCTCGCAGAGTCTCAACATGGCCCTCCGAGGCCCCTGCGTCCTCATCGTGCGTCCTCATGATGCGGGTTGACTCTGCGGAGAGTTTGCTATGGGCACATCCGGGATTCCCCAAGAGTGCTTGCGTTCAGGGCGAATCACCGCCGCCCCCTGCCTCTTGGAAGCGCCGTGGTGGCCAGAACGTGTGGGGGAGGACGGGGGAGAGCGTCAGTAGGAGGAGGAAGAGGAGCAGGAGGAGGAGGAGCAGAAGAAGGAGGATAAGCCTCTTGCGCGCCTCCTGGGGACCTCTTGGGGCCTCCGGGGAGCTTCCGGGGGGCCTCTTTGAGGCCTCTTGGGGACCTCCTTGGGTCTCTTGGCGGCCTTTGGGGACGTCTTGGGGGCCTCTTCGACGTCTTGGGGCGTTCCTGGCCCGTCTGACGCCGTCGGGAGCCGTCGTGGGAGCCTTTCTAGGCTTTATTGGTGCCTTCTTGGGGCGCTGCAGAGTCGTCGTGGAGGCCATCTTGGGCGTCCTGAAGGCCTGCTGGGCCGTCTTGGCTCCCTCGTGGGGCCGCGGCCATCGGCTGCCGTCCGGCTTTCTTTTCATTCAACCAGTCGGGAAAGGCGAATTATGGGAAACTTTACCAGCCTCGAACGTATCACTATCCCTAAGATTGACACGCCAAAAGGCGATGACAATCTTAGGGATTCGCCCTCCAAAAAAAAGGGAATCCCTAAGATTGGCATCGTGATGAGGAGGTGCCCAGCATAGGGATAGGGATATGTTCTTGGCGGGTAAAAACCACGGCCCCAGGGCGTGGTCAGTGCCGCCTGTCAGGGCACCTCCGAGGAGCCTTGCCTTCTTCCAGTTTCCCGCAATTCGGAATTCGAAGTATGTGAATTTGTGGTGATTCTAGGTTTCCCATATTTCCGAATCATTCTTGGGAAACTGAGGTCTACATAAACAAGGAGGGCGTTTGATTCATGGTGTCCTAAAACCGAGTTCTCAATTCCGGGAGACTGGGAGATCCGCGGCAATCGTCCAGGCATGGGTTTCCCAGAATTCGGAATCAAGGAACACCTGGAATCCCCACAACAAAAGCTTCTTGTGGTGATTCCAGATTTCCGACATTTCGAATTGCGAATTTCGGGGCACCGAAGGGGAGAGGACCCTGGCGGGGTCGAGTTACGGGAAACTATGAACCACAACGAAAAACATATTTTTTGTTGTGAATCAATGCTTCCCATAACTCCGACCTGGTATCACTACAAAAAAAGGGGGGTGCTGTGGTGATTCAAGGATTCGGGAAACCGGGGGGTCCAGGCAGTCGTCCGGCCATGGGCTTCCTATAATTCGAATTCCAGATCTCGGGGGGGAGACGCCCCTGAGGGGGCCGATTTACGGGAAAACAGGAATCACTAGAGAAAGCACATTTGTGGTGGTGATTCCAGGTTCCCCTTCCGAAGTATGGGACACCTGGAATCACCACAAAATCCATGAGTTGTTGTGGTGATTTGGAATCTTGGAATCACCACAACACATATTTTGTGGTGGTTCCAGGTTTCCCATGATTCGATTTTCAAATTTCTGAAAACGAGGGGGAGAGCCCCCTGGCGGGGTCGAATTGCGGGAAGCCCCAAATCAACGCTAAAAACATGTTGGCCGAACTTCGGGGAACCCGGGTGGAGAGGCTGTGGGGATGAATTACGGGAAACTTGGACTCACAACGAAAAACATGGCTTTTGTTCTAATTCCATGTTTCCCATAATTCGAACTCCGAATTTCGGGAAACCGTGGGGGTCCCCAGCAGTTGTCCGGCCATGGGTTTCGCACTCTTCGGAATTATAGGGAGTTTAGAATCTCCACAAAGAAGCAATGTTTTTCACTGTGATTCCAGGTTTTCCATAATTCCGAATGATGGGAAACTTGTAACCACGATTTGTTGTGATTCCAGGGGAGCGTTTTGTTGTGATTCCAGGGTTCCTTTAATTAATTAGAATTTCGAATTTCGGGGAACGGGGGGGGTCCCTGGCAGTCGTCCAGCCGTGGGTTGTCCTGATTCGGAACTATGGGAAACCCAGAGTCACAATGAAGAAGCGTGTTTTCCATGGTGAGTCCAGGTTTCCCATACTTCCGACTTATGGGAAACTTGGAGTCAGTCATTAGAAAGAGGGGTGGTTCTTGTGGTGAGTCCAAGTTTCTCATTCTTCGAATTCCGAGTTTCGGGGAAAGGGGGGTTCCCCGGCAGTCGTCCAGCCATGGGTTTCTCATAGTTCTGAAGTAAGAAAATCCTAGAACCACAGCAAAACATTGTTTTCCGTTGCGATTCCAGGTTTCCCATGATTCGAATTCCGAATTTAGGGACATCTAAGGGGAGAGGACCCTGGGTGATTGAATTCAGGGAAACATGGAATCACAACAAACAAGTGAGGGGGTTCTGTGGTGAACTCAGGTCTCCCATAATTCACATATGAATTTCGGGCAGGTCCCCGCAGTCGGCCGCTCATGTTTTTGTTCGTGGTGATTCCAGGTTTCCCATGATTCGAATTTCGGGATTCGGGGAGCCGAGGGGTCCCTGGCAGTCGTCCAGCCATTGTTCGTAGTGATTCCAGGCTTCCGGTAGTTCCGAATGATGAGAAACTTGGAATCAGCACAAAAATGGATGAGCTGTTGAAGTGATTCCAGGATTCGTGTTCCGAATTTTGGGGAACTTGGGGGGAGAGGCCCTTAGGAGGATTCAATTACGGGAACTTGGAGTCATCACAGAGAAGGTATGATTTTTGTGCAGATTCCAGATTTCCCGTAATTCAAATTCCGAATTTCGGGAAACCAGGGGGTCCCTGGCAGTCGTCCGTCCATCGGTTTCCCAAACTTCGGAAGTATAGGAAATTTGGACTTAGCAAAAGAAATATTTTTCGTGGTGGTTCCAAGATTCCCACAGGGAACCTGAAATCACCACAAGAAGGGAAGAGCTTGGGGGGTGATTCCAGATTTCCTTTAACTCGCAGGCCGAATCCCGGTCAGCCAGGGGGGGGTTCCCGGCAGTCGTCTAGCCATGTTTTTTTTGGGGGGGATAATTCAAAATTATGGGAAACCTGGAATAACCACACAAAAAAGAAAAAAAAATAGTTCGTGGTGTGTCCAGGCTTTTAATAATTCTGACTTAGGAGATACCTGGGAGTTACTGTGGTGATTTCAGGTCTGCCATAATTTGGATTACGAATTTCGGGGGACTGGGGGATTCCTGGCAGTCGTCCGGCCATGGGCATCCCATAATTCTGAATTTTTTTGAAACCTGGAATCGCCACAAAATCCAGTTTCTTTTGCGGCGATTTTAGATTTCCGTAATTCCGACATGTGGGAAACCAATGGCCGGACGATTGCCGTGGCCATCTGGGAGGTCTCTTGGGTTGTTTGGGGGTGATTTTGAGGGCTTCTTGGGCCGTCTTGGGACGCAGGAAGGCCGAAAAGAAGAACATGCCAAAATCGTTCAAAAATTGGCGGAGCCTGAATGATTTTGGCGTCTTCGGGGGACCTCTTGTAGGCCGCTTGGGCCGTCGAGGAGGCCTCCTGGGGGCAGTCTTGGGCCAGCTCTTGGACCATTTTGGGCCGCCTTGGGTGCATCTTAGGCCGTCTTGGGTGCATGTTGGGACCCTCGTGGGTTCTCTTGAGGCCATCTTGGCCGTCTCGGTGGCGTCTTGGGACGGTCTTTGAGACCATTTTGGCCGTCTTGGGGAGATGGTTTCGGGATTTGCCGGTCTCTTCGGGTGGCCAGCGGATTCGGCCGAGACCCCACTGAAAAGAACCGGAGCCACTCGAAGTCCGGCACGCCGCGCACCCCTGTGGCAAGCCAACAGGAGGCGGCGGATCGAAGAGGCCTACGGCGAATCACCGCCGCCCTCTGCCTTTCAGGATACGCCTATCTGGCCAAACGTTTGGGCAAGTGTTGCCACGCTATTGGACCATGTGTTCCCCCAGCCATTGTGGAAGCCTTTCTGGGAACACGTGAGGGAGGAAGAGGAGGATGAGAAAATGGAGGGAAAAGGTACATGAGGAGAAGGATGAGGAGAAGGGCGCTCACGGCAAGGCGTTAAAGCCAAACGTGCGTAGTGAGAAGCCGGCCCACGGGGAAGGGAGCCCAGAGTCCCAGGGGTCCACGTTGCGAACAAAATCACGACGTTGGGGGTCCGGATAGTGCGTGTGGCAGTGCTTGGCGAGAACACAGCACATCTACCAACGCGGCGCTGTTTCGAATGGAGTTGCGCGTTCATCTGGGTCTCCTCTCCTCTTCCCCCGGTCCCCTTCCCCACTCAGTCGCCTCCTCGCTGTGAGCTCGTCTCTGTCAAGGGGGGCCCTCCTGCTCGACCCTCCTCCTCCCGCTCCCGCTTCTTATCAGGGACATTCTGGCGGCCTCGCGCGGCACGCACTAGTTGAAATATCTAGCCCACATGTCCGCTCCGTACGTCATGTGTCGACGTTCGCGCGGCGATGTTCTGACGTAAGTCCGACATAAGTGCGGTTTGCATCTGACGTGAAACCGACGTAAACCCGACGTGGATTGGGTATCAAATTGCCGCGCGAGGCCTCCGGGATTTTTCTCATGACTCTTTCTCGACCCTCCGCATCCCGCTCCAATCGACGTCGCCCCAACATACTAATACTATGTGTGC